CCGGAGCTGTGGAAGTTATGGCTGTGGCCCCTGAGGGGGCACAACTAGTAGCTTCTGGTCTCTCAACTGAGGTTGTTGAGACCATCCTCCAATCCAGAGCTCCCTCCACGAGGAAACTGTACGTTTGGAAGTGGAAACTTTTCACTTCCTGGTGTAGAGACCGCCAGCTCGACCCAGCTAGCTGCCCAGTCGGTACAGTACTGGAGTTCCTGCAGGCCCGTTTCTCTACAGGGTTAACCCTCTCCACCCTGAAGGTCTACGTGGCAGCCATTGCGGCCTACCACGCCCCTCTCTGTGGCATCTCAGTGGGGTCCCTCGTGTACGATCTTGTGTCCCTACATGGGACCTAGCAGTGGTGCTAGAAGCTCTCTGTAAGCCTCCATTCGAACCTATCGAAGAGATTTCTGATCGCCATCTTACAATAAAGACTACCTTTCTTCTGGCGATATCTTCTCTAAAGAGAGTTGGGGATCTGCAGTGTTTTCCTCCCCCACGTGTTCCATGTTCCCCCCTGTGACCTAGTTTCTCCCTCGTGTTAATTATGTTTATAGGTTTCAGATGTCCCTCGTTAGTTCTGTATATAAGGTGTGTTCTGCCCCTTGTTTCCTGTCTGGTATTGTTCATCAATCCCCTGTGCTACATGTGCATTCCCTTTTGTAAATAAAGACTTTCTTCACGGATTCCCCTACGTCTCCTCGCTCGTTTGCTCCTCGCTCCTTCACAGTAGCAGCAGCAGCGTGACATATATATTCTTTTTTTTTTTATTTCCTGTTGATCATGACATCATCAGATACACCAAATTAGCTCAGTTAAAAACACATTCATTGAATACCACTTCAAGAAGACACATTAATGCAAAATACACTAGCTTTCTCTATTCTTTTTCTATTCTATCGACTTGTTTTCTTTTTGTTATGTGTGTGTGTGTATGTATATACAGTATGTGTGTGTGTAGGCCTATATATATATATATTCCAAAAGTATGATTTTATATATATATTTTATATATGAACAGTTTATTTGCAAAAACAGATAACTATGTTTTAATTGTTTTATTGTGTTAGTTAGCTGTATTTTTTCTTTCTTATTATTATTTAATCAAAACAACCCAACTGCAGTTTGATCGATATTAATTGGAATGCAGGATAAAAAAACATAATTTTTGACAATTTAAAAAAACAGAGTTATCTGTTATCTGTTATAGTCAACTCTTCATAAATATATCCCAAAAGTATGATTTTTTTTCTCGGATGGTCTCAATAAAGACTACGGTAGTCAACTGCATCTTGCACAACCTAGTGCTCAGAACCACCCGCACGATGAGGAGCTGCACCGTGCAAACTGCATTCATCACTAATTTTCTTACCTGATTTGCATAATTCCGTAAAGTGAAGTCCCTCCAGAATTTGCATCGAACTGTAAGAGAAAATGCTAAAGTGGTCCTACATCAGCAGTGCACACAAACACAAACAGAATGCTGCTTTCGGCCCTGCTGTCCGTTTACAGTAATGTGCACAGGGCATCCATGCCTGAGGCGGCAGTTTGACTCTCTTGGCCCTGTGTTTTTCCACAGCCTCGCCCCCAGACTTTTCCAGAAGCCCTCTCAGAGCTCTGCTTAAAGCCAAGACGGGCAGCACAGTCACCATGGAGTGCAGGCCGCAGGCTTTTCCCACAGCCATCAGCATGTGGAGGAAAGGCAACGAACCGGTGCAGAGCTCAGAGAGGTACAGATACAATCTTGTTTCTCTCTTTTCTTGGTATTCTTGTCCTTAATTCCTCTTATTCCTTATTTCTGACCATCTATTCATTCAAGGCTTCACCCCAGCAGCCCTGCTATGTTCACAATATCTGTGCACAGCCTGCAACTGAACAGTTATCAAAAGGAAGCTGCATTGCCAATTGTGGTAGCTCACTGACCATAACACTCATGAATTATGAAGCAGGCCATTAGGCCAGGCCGGCAGGAGGTCGCTTGGCATTTTGGGTTGAGTCTGTCAAGTATGAAATTATTCCTGGTAGGAGGCCACTTGAGGAAGCACGGCGGATCGTAAGCTTGGCTTTTTTTATAATGAAGTTGGATTAAATAGTATAGGGAGAATCCTGTCAAGGGTGCAGAACTACTGTGGGAAAACAATAGATTTGCATTAAGCCACAGTTGTTTGTTTTGAGAGCGTTCGGTGAGACGGCCCAAGTCCAATTTAACTGTAAGCGCATTGCCGGGGAATTGTGCATTACAACATTAACATTCCAGTACTGGGTTACCAGCATTTGCTGTCTGGTACTCTGGATGATGATATATTGTGAATAGCTGTTGATATATAACCACGGCTGGAGGCATTTATTTTTCATAAATCAAACACTGCTATACATCTATATGCCATCACTAATAGTGCCATTACATTTTTACACTGAGAAAGGCTTGAGAATAATTTTGTATTTATTACAAGATACAAGAATTTACCATTACGGGAATGCTTGTAACACTAGAAAATTGCTAGAAAACTAGATTTATCAAAATATAATTGCCTTAGTATATATTAACGTTACTAAGCAGTTTTTGGGTGTATATAATGCTAACTCCTTTAGATCTCAAGAATAATATAGGCTACTGTTAAAAATTTTGGTTTCAGTAATATTTTTTTTAAAGAAATTAATAATTTTCCTGAGCAAGGATGCAAAAAATTGGATGAAAAGTGACAGTCTTTTACATTGTTACATAAAAGATTCTATTTCAAATAAATGCTGCTCTTTTGAACTTTTTTTTTTTTTTAAACATGAAAGTTTCCACAAAAATATAAAGCAGCACAACCATTGATAATAATAAGAAATGTTTCTTGAGCAGCAGATCATCATATTAGATTGATTTCTGAAGGATCATGTGACACTGAAGATGCAAAAGTAATGATGCTGAAAATTCAGCTTTACATCACTTGAATAAATTACAATTTGAAATATATTCAAATAGAAAATACTTTTTTAAATTGTAATAATATTTCAAAAAAAATTACTGTGTTTTTGATCAAACAAATGCAGCCTTAAGCATAAGACACTTTTTAAGTTCTTACTTCATAAGACAAAAAAAAACATTTAAAAAATTGTACCGACCCCAAACTTTTGAATGATAGTGAATATCTAAATGTCAAATTAGAACCTACGTATAATTATACAAAATAAGTCACAACCATTTCTATTAAAATATATTGATTAGCTTACAAGCCAAATGTTTTTTCTTTTAATTCGGCGATGCAAATTTTTTAATTACTTGTATAACTGCATATTGCAGAACTAAAATTGCCCCCACCCACACAGCCAAGAAAAAACACCAGCAACAGTGTAAGAGGCTTGTTATACAGAGTTGTAAAGGGTTAAAGAGTCATAGATTGCAGTTACAGGTAAATAACAATTACTGTAAATGAAATTGAAAGCTCTTCAAATTATATGCACTTCACATCTGCATGAGAAATTAAGGTTTGTTTTTCTTAAGAGCCTGTTAAAGAGTATGTTAAAATTGTAGAAATACTCATGAAGGGTTGGAAGGTAGTCTAATTCACATGATGGGGCGGTAGATTGAGTGATGCAGCCCGCTGTTATAGCTCGTTGGCTTTACGTTTGAATGACTGTTTCGTGTGAACGCACACTCTTCAGCTTCATTGGCTCTCGGACAGCTGCATGCACCGAGCCATGGAGACTTTCCAGTGTACAGTACAGAGATTTGTGTGCCATTGTATAGAAACACATTATGTTCTTCTTACTACATTTCTACTGTTCCCGAAAGATAAAACACATTTGTACTCGGAATCTAGCTCCATTATGAGTTAACCAAGTTTAAATTTGATTTGAGAGGATTGTGCTTCTCTCTTTTAGGATAACTTTACTCCCTGATGGAACACTTAGAATTACAAATGTGACCAAGATAGACGGGGGAAACTACGCTTGCTTGGCTAGAAACCAGTTTGGTGCGGCCAGCACTACAGGAAGACTACTGGTCACAGGTATGGATTGCTGTAACAGTATTACGCTCTGGGCTTCCTCTTTGCTTTTGCTGCAGATAGAAGTTATGTTAGACTATCGTTCAGCTGTGTGAATGTTGCGTGGGAAGTGGTGATTTTTCTCCAAACTCTGGAGGCTTCACAGGCAATTGTGTGCTTGATACGGCTGCACAATTAATCAAAATCATGGCAGTTTCTTCTTAATCCACAAATGAAAATTCTGTCATTTACTCTACATCATGTTATTGCAAATTATTCTTTCTTCTGTGGAACACAAAGAAAGATATTTTGAAGAATGTCTCCACTGTTTTTGTCCATACAATGGAAGGCAACGGGGTCCATCAGTTTCAAGCTCCAAAAAGGACATAAAGGTAGTGTTTATGATACTTCCGAAGAAAATCCAAATTAAATATGGAAAGGTGTGAATAACATCAAACCTCACTGTCTTTGTGTTACGACATCATTATGTTCAGTCACGTCACATGTAAGAACCAATGAGATGTCATGTTATTAATGTGACAATATAGTTAATATAGTTAATATAGTTAACTAAAAGTAAAACCATTAAAAATAAGTTACTTAAGTTACTTCGATAAGTTACTTCAGCTAGTTTCTAAAGCAACATTTCTCATTTCTATTTACTTTTAACTTAATAAATAAGTAAAGCTAAAAAACAATAAAAACTATATAGACATATATTTTTTTTAAATTTAAAAAATAATGACAAATAATATTAAAAAACACACAATAAAACTACAATTAAAACAAAAAAGAAAGTACCAAAATAAAAACTAATTTTAAAAAGCTATATATAGTATCTCAGTGATACTAAAATAACTCTGATGTGATGCCATATTTGATTTGGACTCTGTATACATGAATTGTATTTTTTTTTAGTTAAATATGCTATCCTGACCTGCCAGTTACCCCAGAACAACATTTACATTTATGCATTTAGCAGGCGCATTTATCCAAAGTGACTTACAATAGAGGAAAAAAGCAGCAAAAGCAACAAAATTCATCCAGAGGAGTATATACAAAGGTGTTCTGCCAATTAGAGGATTTCTATTTCATGTAGTTCATTCTGTTTTTATGATGCATTCTGAAAGGAAAGTTGTTTGATTGCTTTCTGGGGCTTACATGCTCCTATAGTGTAATGCGATGGGTTGAGCGGTTCAGCTCTTCAACTGGCAGGTTTTTTTTTTCTCTCGGCTCAACTCAACAGGGATGGGATACAGTGGCTTTTTGTGTGTTGTTGTAATTACCCATTTTCACGCTCTGCTTATGGCATTGCAATTACCCTGGATTACACTAATGGAGTGTGTGAGGGTGTAGGTTATAGGTTGAGCGTGCACAATTTAGAGAGAAAAATATAGAATGCTGCATTTGCACTCTGGGTTTTGCTGAGATTACTACATCGCCATCTTTTACAGCAGATTCCACGCCAGCAGATTTGAATATGAATCTGAAATTCCGCATTAAGCAACTGGGCACTTGTAAAAACATTCATGTCATTAAAGGGATCATATCAATTGTATAGAAATTTAATTTTCCTCGATCATTTGAAATTCATGAAGTGCGTTACACTATAAATTTATTTTTCAGAACATTTATTGTAACTAATTATAAAAAAGTCCAATCCAATTGACCCTGTTTGCTTTCTTATACAGTGTGTGTGTGTGTGTGTGTGTGTGTGTGTATAAAGAGTGTGTTTAGTTATCTTTTCGCTTCTGTGGTATTAAATCAGTCTACATCAAAAACAGAGAGAGCGAGCAAGAGACTACTAAGCCTTTTTCCTTATACAGTAGATAAAGCTGCAATGTCCTACCTAGTGGATAGAAGTAAAAAATCCCATTCATTTCCTCCTTAGAGAAATTGGTTTTTAGTGATATTGTATAAACCTTTCAAGACAGACCTACTGTGAGCTCCAAGGTTGTTAATATGCCTCTATAGCAGTCCGTGGAAATACATCGCAGTGCTTCATCATGGGATTAGTTGTTCATTCATTGATAAGGACACAGTCTCCTACCTTTGTCTGCTTCCGATTTTCAAATATTTTATTTTTGCTCTAAATCTTACAGTCGGTTGGTCTGGTACCTGGAGCTTTGATTTCAGGGTTTGCACAAATGTCACGTTTTTCTTATGAGATCTGGTTGAAAATATGGCTCTTTTAATTCTGTGGTTTAAAATTTATATATACTGTATGTATATATTTACATTTATTATTCATTTAAATGAATCAAGCTTATGTGTGATTTGGAGCAGATCCCACACAAATCATCCAGGGTCCAGTGGACATGGAGATCATTGTTGGGGAGAGCATCGTACTGCCCTGCCAGATCTCCTGTGACCCTGCTCTGGAGGTTTCATTCTCCTGGGCCTTCAATGGGCAGCTCCTCAATAAACTAGACCAACATTATGAGCATGTGGGTGGGGTAAGTCATATTTTATTGGATATTCTTTCTGTCTATATTCTGTTCTATACTGTTTAACGTGTCATAGAACTGTGTAAAGATTTTCAACAAATATCTAGCATTTCAACTTCCCAGTTAAAAATGAACAGGCCTTTTTAAAATTGCTTGTAAATCTCTCATTATGCTGTATTATCACAGAATCTTGTATTCAAGATTCTGTATATCTTTTTGTCAATTTGATTTCTTTCAGTTAGCACTTTTTGTATTCCTTTTTGGAACTGATTGATCGTAGGCCTCATTGATCTGTGCTTGTGCAAAAATAATTTTGGCAATGTTCAATCAAAAACTGAGGTTCATACGTGTAGCGAATCAGCTCAAAGGGGAAATATGAATAATTAATTATAACTAGTTATAATTAATTATAAATATTTAGATCCGCTGTAAGTATTTACTTGACATCTCAGTGTCAACTGTCTGTCAGTTCTAAGAATGTTAATTTCCTGGTTAAGGAAAATAACTTTCTTACTGTACAATACTACACAGAGCATGTAGCATAAATCTGCATGATTAGGGACTCCAGTTAGGAGCAAACAATGAACAACCTCAAGTGTGATACAAGTAAGACTTTATTAACTACATAAACACTTAAACTAGTCTAACATACACACGCACACACACACACACACACACACATGCATACAGTTGGTATAGGAAAAGGAGTTAAAGTTTAGGCAGTAAAA